CAAGAGAAGCACCCCTGTGCTGACCTGACTCCCCATGAAACTAAAAGAGCGTGCTCCTAGAACGGAGGACGGAGGAAGGAAGACCTTTCTACCTTTGATGAGCTCAGAGTGTCTTCGGCTTTCGTGGCCCTCTCCTCTACTTCAGCCAATTTGGCATTCAGGCTCTCCAACTGCGGATGAAGAGTCAACCACAAAGTTCATTACTCTTCCAAATCCTGGAAGCATTTTCTGTGTGTTTCACAGATTGCGTGCTGTTAAGCACATAATGGTAATTTCTGTTGGCGGTAAAGTGGGTAACAGGGTACATACACTGGTCCTCATACTTCAGTGGTTCCAAGTAGCAGTTTTATGCACACACACAGAATCTGACTAGACTTTTCAAAGTCAGCTGTGCAAAACGGCTGGTCGCCGCAGCCAAAATTGGTTATCAAAATATGTTGTACAAATCTGCAGTTACAAGTCTGCATTCAAAATTCACTGATAACTTTTTTTCATTTTAAAAATTAGAAATTTGCAGCCAAAGTCAAGGTAACCCCTAGAAGCCTGTAAAGTACAAGTGTTAAAAAATATACCGCATGTAAATTTCTCATAATCATGTATTTCTGATTACGTACTCAAGATAAAAATCTATGGTTCATTTAACAGTGAGGGTGTCTGGTGAACACTCCTCGGTCTCACTGAAAAAAATCCTTGACTGTAGTGGTAGACAAGCTTATAAGGTGAGTTCATATATGAAGTGACAAGAGCATGTCGGAGCGATTCCAAACCAAAGGAGGCTTGAAGTATTCACCTGGTCTTTCACGGTGACCAGCTGCTGTACATCGCCGGCGTGAAGCAGAAACTCTCGCTCATACTTATCCTGAGCCTGGAAAGTAAGACAAAACATTATCAGTATTTTTCCAGACAGGTCAGAGGAGTGCAGAACGTAAGTCACGAGTAGACCAAGGAGATCCGCTGCACGCAAAATTTGGAGTGGCTCGTTAAGACACCGTGTGCCTTTGTTCGGCTAACTACATTGCACTAAGAGCCCTGTACAAATCAGTTTTTGTATTCCTTAAAGGTATTTGATACCAGCCCCAAGAGGGCTTCAATCTGCCTGCAAAACAAGCCTTTTCAGCCAGTATTTGGAGGACTGAGACTGAATATTGACATTTTGGAAGAGTTTGAAGGTTACCAAACTACTGGAGTTGGGAACTTCTCCAATAATCTAATTTAGCTTTTTTTTTTTTGGAAGCATGACAAAGATTGGGAAGATTTTTTTTGTAATTCAGAGCCCCAGAAACAAACTATCCAACCTCCTTGGCCAGTTTGGCCTGCTCCTGGCAATCTTGTCGGGCCGTGGCCTCGTTTGTCTCTGCATCGGTCTTCCGTTGGACGGCCAAGGTCAGCTCCTCTTGGACGTGAAGGAGGTTGCGACGCAGTTCGCTTGTCTGTCAATTGATGGGGAAAAGAAATATATTAGAGATAAAAATGGCAAAAAGGTCTTACGTTCAACTCAAAGAAATGACAATATTGGTCTCTAATCTATGTTTTTCACTGGCAACTATATCAAAACGTAAATATGGGTAATTCCAGAAATTAGGGGTCCAAAAGTGTGACTTTTTTGTGTCCTTGTTACATCTGACCTTGTTATTTGACAAGGAAATATCAGCAGAATTGATTTCAAACTGTTACTATCTGTTTGGCAGGTAATTTGCATTAATTCACCACTCTTGGAAATTAGAAAATGTGTTCTGAACTTACAAAATCATATGTCAGATGTAACAGGGACACGAAAAAAATGGACCCCTAATTTCTAGAATTACCCAAATATCGAAATTTCCATCACAACCAAATCTGATGTGGACAATGGACATTGCCAAAGCCGAGTTTAATACGTGTGGCTCTATCATACACTCGTCGCACGGTTACTTGAAAAGTGAAAAGCAACTTTGAGAACAAACACCTAGGACGACATCCCCGGACAATATGCGTTTGTTTTAATGAAATTGCTGTTCACAATTTCAACTAAAAGAATCAGTGAACTGAATGGTGTAACAACGGCAGGCAGGAGTATGCCGCGTTATAGGGTTCTGTGCACTTTGCCAAAACTTCCAAATCACACTACCACGCGTTTCATGATTGTTATCCTTGTCTAGATGTGAAAAAAGGAATAACCAACAGCATTAGATGTGTATTCCTCGCTTTGGTAGAGTGGGTGATTTTATCAGACATATACATTCATAATCAAGGCTTTGGTTATTTTTGCGGCTGGCAGCAAAAGCGGTGAAACGGTCCCCTTCATTTTTCACCTGTGATGCCACGGCTTCGCTGAGTTCTTCCTTCTCGCTGCGCATCTCGTCTCGTTCCTTCACCAGCTCGATGACTTGCTTTTCAAGCTGCTCGCGAGCTGCAAGGATAAAAGAAAAACTCACTGAAACAGAAAGGAACTCAAACTCAACGTCAAACATACATGTACATCATCGCAGTGTCTATAGTTCTAAATATGTTTGTTTGTAACTTTGTTTTTTGCTGTAAGGTTCCGTTTCAGTTTGGTTCCACCCATGATACTCTTTGGCAATTTTATTTTGGGGAGCCTTGACCTTGGTCATGCCAAAAAAAAAGGAAGTCTCATAACAAGAAAATGCATTGCTTCTTGTGAAGTTTGATGAGGATGAACAAACTAATTTTTGCATATTTTGCATCACGATCCGTCTCGAAGATATTCAAGACAGAACTTTATTCACAAAACTAGTCACTGCATTGCACCTTCCAACTTATTGGGCCGGCATTTGTACTCATCTTGAATTTTTCCTAACTTTAATGCCACGCACAATTTTGTTCAAATTAGAAGTCGCTGTCTGCTCTTTTGCAGCTGTTGAAAAAAAAGACCTCATTTTCAAAAGTCGGTTTGGATCAAGAGCAAAATGTAACTGAAACCCAACGCATCGACTGATTAGTCTAGCGACCAAATCATACTTGGTAGCTAACATCCATACCTTGTGTGGTCTCCTCCAAGCGTTTCTCCATGTTCTCCTTATAAGTCTGGGCAGCCAGGCTCTGCTCTTTCAGGCTAGTCTCGATGGCTGCGCTGATGGACTTGTACTGCTCCAGATGCTTCTTGGACTTTTCCGCTTGGTCCTTCAGAACTGATTATAAATCGACACAAAAAGACATCAGCGATTGTGCCTGTGATCAAGGATCTTGCCTGAGGACATAAACACCGTCTGGTTCCCACACACATCTCTGAGGTCTGGTCCGGATTTTCTGAATCTTGACCACCCGTCTGTCTTTGACTTCCTGTTCCTGATTTTGGCCAACCTGCCCCCAGCACTCTGAGTTGCAATTTAGCACCATTTCCTTGTTACATACCAGTATATACATCAAACCGTTTAACATGAGGCCACAGTTTGGACTAATTAAGAATCAGTTCCAACTGTAACCACTCAGAATTTACAGTGAAGCTTATCACAAAGCCAATGACAGTGGGAAAGCCTGATTTGGGAAAAACTATTGTCATTATGTGGACACTGACCTTTGACTTGGTCTTCGGCCATCCTGAGCTTGGTCTTCAACTCTCGGACCTCCTCTTCGTTGCTGGACACGACCACAGTCTGCTGGGACCTGGAGGCTAGGGCTGTGCAATTACAACAGAGATGGTCTGATCACGGCACAATCAAAGGCTACATCATCAATATTCATTTCTCAAGGAGCAAAACACAAGTTTTGTTTCTACTTTTTGGTATGAAATAAAAACTACCGTAACAGTGGGAAAAACATTTCTCACCACTCGATAAGGTTGTAAAACATTCTTGAGAGTAAAATCACGTTATGTCAACAATAACCTCGACAAATTTTGGCTGCAATCAGTTCAAAGAAAGAACTCTTTTCCTTATCGCATACTTTTCTAATGAGCCCCATGTATGTGTGATGAAGACTTTTGAACAAGAAATGTATACATGTGAATGTACATGTAGTTTTAGATGTGTTCCAAATTTGAGAAAAATAACCTCACCTTCATTTTTATCCTTTAGAGCACTCTCGTACTTGATCTGAGCTGCTACCAGCTGGGCTTCTACGGATGAACACTGCAGACATGGTAGACAAGTAAATCCAACAAAATATTCACGACTCATACATATACATGACTCAGCTCTGCTTCTGACGTCAACTGACAAATGTTTGATCTGAGTTTGCACACATAAACACTGTCGACAAGTACATGTAAATAAGAACAGAATATTGACAGAAATCGTATATATTCATGAGGAAGCTCTTGTGAAGGGACCTGCAAGAGGACGTGAGATGGACTCAAACTACAGCACTGATTCCTATCAGCCTTGAGCAGAAGCACCCCCTCATTGGTTGAAAAGAGCCATGTTGGTGGGGCTATGTTGCCGGTAGCAGCGTAACCGTAACCAGTACACTTCACAGTCGTTGTGAACCAGCCAAGTGCAGTTCTGACCAAAGGAGCCTCTTCTGCTCTGAAAATTGCGCCCTCTCTTGGTCTTGCTCGGGGCTCATACCTGTTCCTTCATGTGCTGGAGGTCAGTCTTTGTCTTGTTCAAGCTTTCCCTTGTCTTCTGGTGGTTGTCCAGCTCGTGGTTCAGCTGTCGCTGAAGGCTCTGTACCCGACCCTGAAACAAATATATGCCATTCAGAGTTTGTCAATTTTCCCACCATCTAACTTTTGTCTAGAGAGAAGCAGATGTGCTTGGCCAACTGGCGGTTTTCAACATTCTCGTTGCATCATGGGATTGGGTGGCATACATATACCATTCTATACACACTAGAAAAGTTGTGCGAGAAAAATTGGACTTGGTTTCAAATTTCACGAAGCTCAGATCATAAACACTGCTTGGCATATTCACATGCTTAGTATGAAACAGCAGGGAACCAGTCACAATCAATAGAAGCTGTATGGCAGTTTGGTCAGTATATCTGTTGTTGCTAAGCACATGTTTTATTTTTCACGCTTAGCCGCTACTATACAAGGTGACAGATTAAGTGTTCTGATACATGTACACAAGGCAAAGCAGAGTGGAGATATTTCCAATGCATGAATCTGAAACTTCACTTGTTTGATACATCACCTGAATAACTCGTTAGGAAACTTTGTGTACAGGTCGCCATCTTACTTTGCCGGCCCACAATGAAATGCAACATGAACATTTCACATTCTTCCTTGTGTGACTTACAGTTTGCTCTATTTGATAGCCTATCTGCTCCGAGTGGAACAAAAGAGGGCGTGTTTTTTTGGTACTCACCGCGACGGTGCGCCACGAGGCGGGCAAGTACAATTTAAACGCGCGTTTGACGCAGAGCTCGCTCGAGTATGCGTAACTAATTTACTCCAGCATGTAGGGTCTACGTGTACACGCAGAACACGTGCAAGAACCCGCTTGTAACCACCTGTCTTTCTTTTCGCCGATTGGGGGTGCACTATAGCTCGGGGTGGATACTCTAAGTCAGAAATTGCCTCACCTGATAGATAAGGAAATGTTTACTACCAGTGTTTTAAATTTGCAGGCACAGCCTAAAACCATGCGTAGGTTTGGAGAGCCATCAATGCACTCGCCGCGTACATGCGTGTTGTATGTATAATGTCTTTCTATGAATGAAGAGCAGCAAGTGGGCATACCGCTGAAGTGTACGGTGAGACAATGTAGGTATAATTTAGGGTGTAACCCACAGCCATGCCATTGGTTATACCAAATAATTTAGGTCACATGGTCCACAATTCATCAATCACATGACAGGGATTTATTCAGGAGTACGATAAGCTGTATAGAAATGGTCTATGTTCATATCCAGACGATAAACCCAGTAGCAATGCAACCAGCGCCGACATTTACCTCCCATGTCTTGAGCACCACGCGGTGTTGGTCGTTTTCGCCTTCTATTCGCCGTCTTAGCAGGTTCAGTTCGCGCTCCATTGCCTCCATCTGATTGGTCAGCCTGGCTTTGCTCTCGAACTCCGACCTCTCCAGGTTGTTCTGCAAACCCCACAACAGAAGAGAAAAGGGCAACGTGTCAGCGACATTCCATTCAGCATTGGAGAAGAACTTGTATTGGCTAAAAGTCACACCTTGCTGACGAAGCTAGATTCGTCAGTCAGCACAATAACAAATGCAGAACAAATTCTACAAAAAGACACTTGTTAAGCTACAAGGAACAAATACAAACATTTGCCACCTGCAGATAGTGGAAGCGGGGGCTTGAACCTTGTGAATGAATGGCATCTTAAACCTGATGAAATGCTTCCACTAAAGCTCTTTCTTTGAGTTTTACAGAACAACAACTTTGGAGAAAAAGTGCAAGCAGGTCATTAAATTTTAAACATGTTTGGCAGAACTTGTGGAAATCAGGTCTAAGTTTGTACAGTGAACAAATCAAGCTCATGTGGTTGCAATGAAAAATAAATTCATCCTTTCAATTTGAGAGCTCTGTCACCAAGTCCATCACAAGCCCCTTACTGCTTTCTCACAGATCTTCACGAGTTTAGTCTCAAGTCAAGTTGCCAGATGCTCAAATGAACTGTGACAAAAGCATCAATCTACGACTGTTCTTCCTTTTATTCCACTGTGTTATCAGGGCTGGACTGAAATGACTCACTATAAAACTGACTTTCAAAGAGGGGGAGCTCCCCCGTGCACAGAGACATTACAGATATTTGCTCTGAACTCTCTCATGTTTTAAACTTCTGTGATATTTTGGAAGGGGGAAGTTAGATTTCCAACCTGGATGGTTTCCAAGTTTGTCAGCAGCAAGGTCTGGCTCCGGTGCTCCCTCTGCATGCTCTCTTTCTCCTGGAGTAGTCTGGCCTCCACCCCCTTGAGGAGGTCTCTCTCATCCGTCAGATTCTTGCAGGCCACTTCTGCTCTAGTCAGTTTCTCGTTGGCGGCCATCAGGTCCTGAGGGACAAAACGGATCAAAGATCTGAAACCCAGACGAGCTGGGGGGGGGTTTCGGTTCTCTCAATTGAATGGAGTTCTGCCCTCCCCTTGAGATCTCAGCTGTCTGATGTCCAATCATATTGAAACTTGGCATGCACATAGACACATTCATTACTTCTCACATCTAGTAAGTTTTAATTTTCATGTAATTTAACGTAGGCTCTTGTTTCAGTCATTTATGATTCAAGCTCTCGTGCATTGATGCATGGCACTGAATTCATGCATTGCTGACTGACAGGTCTAGGACAAGGGAGCATTTGACAACAATGCCGGGTCCATTTCTCAGAAACTTGCAAATGTGACCATAAATTATATTGAATGATTCCCGAAGGCTTGGGCTGCATAAAAATGTACACACAATCTGGCAATCCCAGGGAAATTGTTGGGCAATGGGCAAATTTCTTCTCCCCCCATTCTCATTTTGTTTTCTGTACCTTCCACGTTTGTGACGTGATCCCAAATGGGCGAGTCAAATGACCATCATAGATTTTGTTTCTGTTTCCATTCAAAAGATCAAATAGAGCTCTCTGATTTGATATATCACTCAATATGGCGGTCTGATGAGAAAGGTCATTATTTGGGTGAAAATGTTGCAGGTGGATGTGAGCCCCAAGCTGAACCACAAGAGGGTGCCATTTTCCTACCAACGGAGGCTCCTTTGGTCAGAACTGCACTTTGCTGGTTCGCAGACGACTATGAAATGCATGCAGTATTAAAAGGTCATGTCACTACCAGCAAAATTCACGGTCCTAATGGCGCTTTTCAGCCGATGAGGGGTTGCTTCTGCTCAAGGCGGATTAGTCTCCGCATGGTGCCGGATTCTTTCAAAGGCCTTTCCCTTGAAACAAATGGCAGCTCAGGGACTTATGACTCGTTTTGTCAGGATGGATCAAACACAACTCCCAACCAACCTGTGTGAGTGAGTTGATTCTCTGCTGGTTCTTGACGAGTTCTGCCGAGTATTTCTGGCTCTTGTCCCTGTGGGACGCAATCTCCTTCTTGTACCCGTCCACATTAGACTGGAGGATCTTGTACCGCTCACCGGCAAAATCAAGCTGTGGAGAGTTAAGATAAAAATGACACAATCCTCAATAAAAACAATTCAATGTTATTATCGTGCAGATATGCCATATACAGGTACATGAAAAAAATGCTGCTGTTGGCAGAAAGGAGTGTTTCCATAAGGTGCGTCAAGAGGCTCCAACCAGGTTTTTCTCTCGAGCAAAACATTCTTCGGAGTCAGCGCTGATCAAAGGCCACTGGCAACAACTGATTCTCTGGACTCTGATTGGATGACTTTTTTGTGCAGTGGAGGAGCAGGGATCATAACTGAGATGCGCACATTACATACGAGTGCAAGATACCCACAATGCCACGCATTTCCTTCACACACAGGCACAAATTCCTTGAAGAGGTCAGCAGTCACTGGTGCCCAGAGTACTGATGACCACAAGGGAATTGAAGGGATACCAATGATAACATGCACTGGTTGTGTCCATACAGGAATCTTTGCTCTAAATACGGCAACTCAACCGACATGGTTTTAAGTAGCAATTTATTGGCTTGCTGATCAGGGGAAATAAAAACCAGTATACCATACACAAGTAAAGCCATGTGTACATCAACTCCCTGCAGCGGTCCCCCCCAAAGAAGGACTGAGGGAGAGAAATAAGCAAGGTATTGCCTCTCATTTCAGAAAGGACATGAGTTTCATTTTCTTGTTGCTGGTCTGTACAAATCTTGTGTAAAGCCATGTACCCTGGTAAAAATTTGAAAACTAAAGAGGGCAAAAACGGGGAAAAAAGCACAATGAATGAAAAAAGAGATGAAAGTCACCAATATGCTTGCCAAAACCTCAAAAGTTACCCATCCCACTCTGTTAATATTACTTTGCCCGCCCCAAAAAATCCTAATGATGCCCACGGTGGTACTGACACATGGGGACTGATTGCCTTTAAATCTGCATTAGTTTCCAGTTTGATTTTACAAGCTCATACACTCATACATTGTTTTAAATGTTTGAAAATCAATGACATTCAAATGTTTTAGGTTTTGTAATTATTTTTCAGTGAGATCTTGACAAACTAATCCATCTCCAGAATCGGTCTTTATCTCTAGTTGAAGAATCACCTTTATACACGGCAGTTATATGTAATCTTTTCCAGTACCTAGATACGAGAATGTAGCAAATGACAAATAAAGTCAATACAGAAAAAAAAATATTTTCAACGCACTTAGCATCATCGCTTTCTGACTGGCTGCCCTTAGGTTCCACAAAACCAGAACTTTATTACAACTGTATAAAGTATTCCCTTCCATTACTCCTGCAGCTTCGGTCCACTAGACTAAACAGCAACTGAAAAATTCCAGCCATCATGGTTTCGTCCGCGAGCCTTTCCGTTATTGAAATGTTATTTATTACAGTAATGTAATGAGCAAATACAGCTTAAGGAGTCATTAGTTGGAAGATTAATTTCTAATGCATTCCAAACACAATCCCTTTAATTTACAATGAAATTTCTCATCATCAAAGCCAGTCAGAATGAATTGAAGAGCAATATCCATCATTCCTGTTTCCCAAAGGCTTTTTTTGCTCAACGTTATGCCATTAATCATTTCCTTTGTGTCTTGGAAAAGGCGCCAACACACAGAATCCACAGCAACAGGTAGTTTTTCTGTCATTTGGGTGTAGTGAGACTTCGTACCACTTACATATATACCAACAACGACNATCAACCCACGCTGGATACCTGACTAAAACCATGTAATTCAAATTTGAATAGGGCATGTTTGGCTCTTAAAAAAGAGATCTTAAAAATTGGTTATTATAGAACAACAAGCTTTTACTTTTCGACTGCAACAAATTCTAAAATATGCACAGTTTAGCAATTAGGTAATTAATATCAAAATGCATGGTGGGTTCGCTGAACTCTACTGCGCTTCTAAATGGGCTGAGTGGAATCCACAAACAGATTTTCTCAGATGTCAAACAGCATATTTTTACAAATCAGACTGATCATTCAGTTTGTTTGTCAGTGGTTTATATTGTTTGTTTTGGAGGGTAGTGAGGCCAAGGCGTGTTATTTTGCGATCATTAGACACTATTTGGAGAAAATCTGGTATCCACGTCGACAGATGAAAAAAGAGGTAATTTTCTCCTAGGCTGATCATGCACAATGAAAAGTATTCACAGAGTGGACTATAGTGAGATTGAATATCATTATTAAGCTATCATACCAGTATATGTACCGTGCCACCTCAAATTGGATTGAAAACTTACATGTAAGTGTATCTCGATCTGTTGATAGTCATGTCACATAAAAGCAATAAAGTTTCTTATTCAAAAGCCAGGGTAATCACGGTAATGTGTATATATCCCCCCCCACCATCTCTGAAAGTTAAACAATCTGATGCCTTCGTAAAAATTTTAATGTCTGATTACAATTATTCAGGCTTCAACCTTTTGTGTGAATCCTTTGGAATTGATCAAATGTGGAATCCAGTTGATAGACTTCTACTTCCTTCTTTTTTTTTTTAGAATATCGAGTCATTTCCCAAAACTGACTCAAAGATGCACTTTCATTCATAAAATTCTAACTTGGGTTCTAAGACAGATCATCTTAGCTCTCGTTTCTGAAGAAATTGTCACTACATTGTAGTTCAAATAACCAACGGCTTCAAACCCTTTACTGTCTTTCCTTTGTGTGAACATAATTACATTTTAGTAGTTTTTCAAAATCAAACGACTCGAAAAAGAGTTGGTGTCGTCCTGCCAGGATTCAAGAGGGTAGACTTGGCCAAAATTATAAAGGAGATCTTAAAATCAAACTCGGAAGAGTTTTGCATAGTCAAAATTCGTATATACTCAACCAATGTAACAATGTTAAAACAGTTAACATCGGTCATTTTCTTGTTCCTGGAGCACGTAAAGATCAAAATACATAAATAGAGCAACCATTTTCAATGATACCCTTTTGTCCTTGGTTTTCACCAAACCTGATACTTATTGCAACTGTGCCAATTTTTCCCTTCCGTTACTCAAACGGCTCTGGTCGTTAAAACATCGACTGAACAATAGCAGCGTTCGTGGTCTCCTTGCAGGCCTTTCATTGAGGTACAATTAACATGAATTACAGGAGCGTTATGCACAAATGCAGCCGAATGGGAAAGGAATCATTAGTTACAAGATTAATGTCTGATGTAATATGAATAGATAATCAAGACTTTGGTTCGCAATATTGAATATTGTCCTCATGAAAGGTTGTCAGCGTATTGATGGGCAATAAGGATAAAGGATATTGCTCATCAATAAGCTGACAACCTTTCATGAGGTGGTCTCCTTCAGGAGAGCTACATTTAGTACATGTATCTTTTAAGAGGTGCTCCCACGGAGAATCCACAGCAACAGCTGGCTTTGTTACCGATATCTGCATTTAATGAGATTCAGTACCATGTGCCATCAAGTTGGAATGCTCAAACTGAATTAGCGCCAACACTGAGTGACCATAGCAACAGGATCTTTTGTACATGTCTGTCATTTTGATGATTATTCAAAGCAGCATAAAATGTGTGTGTTCTACATGTGGTGACAGTCATTTCCTATTTTAGTTTGTCACCACTGGACCTCCACATTGCAATCAAAACACTCTGGTGTAGCCAACACATCATTCTACTTCTAAACAAATTTTCCAATCGTCTGCCGAGAGACTCGCCATGTACTTGGTCAAAGTTGTTGGCGTTGTAACCATCACTGCAGTGATTAATGCTGCATGGGGGTCAAACTTCTGTCCCTCTCTGCCTACCATGAAATGTTCCTGCCCGTCAGGGTGGCAACTGTGGAGGAAAGCATGCTATCGCCTCACTGAATCAAAGGCTGACTGGGAGAGCAGCAAGTCAGCTTGTCAAAACCTAGGAGGCATGATGGCTGCCCCTCATTCACTTGAAGAAATGAAGTTCATGGCAGATTTGGCACGACAGAAGCACAGCAACTACCGCGTCTGGATTGCTTTCAATGACATTGAAGTTGAAGGAAACTGGACGTGTGATGGCCAGGAAGGGAGCAAGCCGTTCATGGCATGGGGGCCTGGGCAACCAGATAATTATAAAGGGAATCAAGACTGTGCTGTAATAGCTGCAGAACATGATGACAGGATGGATGATGGTGGCTGTAATAATCCTAACAAGGCTTATTGTGTTCTCCAGGCTAACTGTACTAGTCGCCCAACCCGACCCCATCGCTACTGCTTCTCTACCGACACCCACGGCCGCATTCTCAACTCAACCTGCCTCCTCA